ACTGTGTGGGGTGATCCACAAAACTTCAGACCCGAGCGATTTCTAGATGACCAAGGGAAGTACCTGAAGAGAGATGAGTTCATCCCCTTCTCTATGGGTAATTATGCAGTTACATTTCACACAAACCATGCTGTAACATTTCTTCACATTAACGGTCGACAAATATCAAAGGTAAAGCTTATCTCATCATGAACTGGCAACTCACTCGTATATGATAACTTTGAGACAGGCAACAATGACACTACTTCAGATTGATTTGCGCTATCTCACTAACTCATTTATCTTCAGGTCGCAGAGTGTGTCCTGGAGAGTCCTTGGCCCGTATGGAGTTGTTCCTGTTCTTGGTGGCCATGATACAGAAGTTCCAGTTCCTCCCAGACGATGGACCGTTAACACCTTTGAAAGGAATACTTGGCATTACCAATGCAGCTCCCACCTTTACGATTCGGGCTGTACCAAGGGCCATGTGTAAATGATATCCCAGATCAGTTGAAGCCCTTCAAGGCTTTCCAGATAAAAACATTAAAACATAAACATGTTTTGACAAATGAGTGATTTCTTTTCACATAAATGTGCGTACACGTCTTCTTATATGCTTGTGTATATAGGCTTAAGTACATTTCATAAGAAGAACTAGAACGCGTCGTCAGTAAACATATATATTATCAGAGGATGCTTTTGAATGTATTAACAATAACCGCTGTCCGAATGGGTCTCCTTGTGCAATATTTATTTGTTGTATGTTAATTCAACCAATTTCTTCTTAAGTAGATTTTATAGCGATTTATAGCGATCAGCATGTCCGATGTCCGTCTGTTATCTGGAGCAACACCCTTGCTTTTCGGATCAGTCTCGTGGTGCACTGATGCCTTTTGATGATTTTGGATTTTAAAAAAAAAAATTATGTTTTCATGACAAGTTGGACTTAAACTGAAAATGAGGGTGGTGCTCGTTTCCTCGTTGTATGGACAGATTGACTCTCAGAAGCAGTGTTCAGTCTTTCTCACGGATGTCCAATGTTGGACTCTTGTTAAAAAAAAGGTGTAAGCGGTCGGTGTTTATTGAAACCATCACATCAAAAAGGAGTATTTGTTACCACCATAAATGTTTCAGACAAAAGAATATTTCTTTAAGTCATCGATCAATTAGTGATGTCTTAGAAATATTTCGTTACATATTTAAGCCAGAAGAAATCTGCAATTTTGATGATTCCTGCCTCCATTAGAGTGAGGCCTGAGAATCCACGGTGGAATACTGTAGTCTAATGTTGCGCACACTTCAATCATTGTTCGGGTTGTGGAGCAGGGCATGTCCATTGGTGTTTGCAGAGTTTGAGACAATGTTTGTCCACAAAACTGAAAGAAATTCGGATACATGCTGATACATTTTGGGGGGGCACGGGCTGCGCAGTCGTCTAAGGCGCCACGATTCGCTGTGCAGAGTTGCGTCCCTTAGGCACGCCAGAAACCTTTGATTGTGGGTTCGAATCCCGGTTCGCCCCGATTATGTTTCTAGGTTTGTCAACACCATGCCCGTACTCGTGGGTTTCAGCGAAGTGGTAAACGTCTAAGACCTGCATCACTTTGGGCTTCCTCCCACATTAAACTGATACGCCGCGATATAACTGTAATACTGTTAAAAGCGGCGTTAAACCCAACTCACTCACTCACTGATACATTTTGGGTGTCATTGTTAGTGTGAGTGATGCTTTTTGGGGAGGACCTGTGGAGGATGGCTTCTATCATGCTTTGGTGACTAAGACCTCTGTGTCATTATTTCTCCTCCTCAAACACATACCAGCACAGTCTAGTGTATATCTAAAAGGGTGCCATCTGCTCTTAACTGCGAAGTACCGATACTTATCTATTCTATTTATGACAAACACCTGACAACAATGTTGTTTAACGCCGCACTCAGCAATCTTCTAGCTATATGACGGCGGTTTGTAAATATTCGAGTCTGGACCAGACAATCCAGTAATTGCCATCGTGAGCATCGATCAACGGAATTTAGACACAATGACATGCATCAACCAAGTCAGCGAGCCTGACCACCCGATCCCTTTAGTCTACTCTTACGACAAGCATGGGTTACTGAAGACCAATTCTAACCAAGATCTTCACTGGGGCTCACATGTACTAGTCAAATAACACGTCTGGCATGAAATAATTGTCAATCAGTTGGTAGGAAACTGTTTCATAGGCCATGTCCCGTGAAACCATTTTCCTGAGGCAAGGGAGTTAACTGACTTTAAAAGGTCCCACTAAATAACTAACATTTCTGATCGTCGCTTCACCAGTGGCTGTTACGAGTTACGTCCCTTCAATTTACCACACTACTGGCCGTTCAGAATCCAGCTCATGTGATTCATGTGCATGTACCCACTCAAGACGATTTCATCGATAATAAATATACATATTGCAATAAAACGGGGTTTACCTTGCAAAGTGCATCAAATCGCTTGAGCATCTTGATTTAAAACATGAAAGGATTTATCTTTCTACGCCTAGTTAATGTTATACTTGCTCTGCAAATCCTGCAATCGAACGAATTCGGCACGGGAGTTGCCATGTTGTTTGCGAACCGGATGTCAATTTCGTACGTGTTTTTAATTTGACTATGCATTAGCATGTGTTTATCAATCACTATCAAATAGTCATGATACCAGGGGTTTGCGAAAAGGTGAGCGTATCCTTCTCAGACGGTGGATACCAGCACAAACACACGCAAAGGCAAGTAAACTGTTCACCTGAAAAAAAAACACACGTGAAGTAATGTAATGGGACCGCGGACGTCTATTGTTAAGCTGCTGACAGTCATGACATTTTTTGTTGGAGGTTGTTTCATTGTTTGTATTTCCAAAACCTCTAACTTGTGTTATCAGACTATATCTGATCGTGTATAAGTTTGTGTGTGTCATCAGTAACATGTGTGCCAGTTTCCTCAGAATGTATTACTGAAACACAAAGAGAAGTAAATAATGTGCTTAAAGTAGGTTCTCTGATAAGTTGTTTCGTTAGGAAGTTGTATGGATGTCAAGTGATTTGTTTTTCACCAAAACTATTTTAAACTGAACTGATCGCAGAAGATCCGTATAACAGCAGTGTGCTGTATCTGAGATAGGTAGTGTTTTCATTCTAACTGGCTAACTGAAAAAAAGAAGAGTGTTTATCCATAGTTTCTATTGTGCCCAATGCCAATATTATCTACCATGCCAAATTCACTATTGACAACTGAGACATATAGGGAAACTCTAAAAGGTAGTATTTCTTGCGCTCGGAATAAACAGCGGCATGGTATCTCAGTGGGCAAGTACAATAAAATCGGCAAAAGTCCGGACAAGTACAAGCGGCCAAATTGTACTTCAGGTCTTCAGCAACCCATTCTTGACGTAAAAGGTGACTATGCTTGTCATAAGAGGCGAATAACGGGATCGGGTGGTCAGGCTCGCAGTCTTGGTTGATGCATGTCGTCGTATCCCAATTGCGTGGATCGATGCTCAAAACGTCAATCACTGGAGTGTCTGGTCCAGACTCGATTATTTACAGAGCGCCGTCACATAGCTGGACCTCCTGATTGCGACGTTAAACAACAAACAAACCATACCATCATGCCTTAACTTGCAACTAACCCTTACGTGATAAATATTGGGACAGGCAAAGTATTATACATCAATAGTTTGATTTCCGCAAACTCACTCATTCATTCTCAGGTCACAGAGTGTGTCTGAGAGTCTTTGACAATGGACCATTGACCTCCTTGAAGGGAAAATTTGGCCTTACTAATGCAGCTCCTACCTTTTCGTGAATAATGTGAATTCATGTGAATAATTTTCATCCAAGTTCAGTTCATTTTCAAGGATTTACAGAAAAAACGTTAATACATAAATATTTTTTGACAACAAATGATTTCTTTCCGTATACACGTGGGTTCACGTCTTGCATTTTTTCATGCTATATATAGGCATAAAATAATTTGGTAAGAAGAACGAGATAGCGTCTCCTTTAGTGAGTGAGTGAGTTTGGTTTTACGCCGCTTTTAGCAATTCCAGCAATATCACGGCGGGGGACACCAGAAATGGGCTTCACACATTGTACCCATGTCGGGATTCGAACGCTTTAACCACTAGGCTACCCGACCGCCCCTGTCTCCTTTAGACACGTATATTAGACTATATTAATTTTAGTGACAATGATTTGTTGGAAGACCATTTGTTTAACCTAACGTCAATTTAGCTTGAACAGAAAAGTACAACATTGAATAAATAGTTTATTCTGAGTTACATATAGCATATAAGGGACTGGTGTATAACTTGATTAAAGATACAGAACTAAAGGAATGAATTTAATTGACAGTTATCAGCTGGCAAAATATTAGCCTCGATATGTTTTGATTCAGATGTGTCAAACATATGTCACATGAAGTGGTGTTGATTCTTTGTTTGTTTCGTTGTTTGTTTAACGCTGCAGTCAGTAATGCTCTATATCACGCCCTGTAAAGACAGGTCTGGTTCAGTGAGTGAGTGAGTGAGTGAGTATGGTTTTACGCCGTCTTTAGCAATATTCCAGCAATATCACGACGGGGGACACCAGAAATGGGCTTCACATATTGTATCCATGTCGGGAATCGAACCCGGGTCTTCGGCGTGACGAGCGAACGCTTTAACCACTAGGCTACCCGACCGCAGTTGCAAGTATTTGATGTATAAGCAAGTCGTGGAACGTTACTCATGGAACTTTTTATGGTTATATGGAGATTACAGGCGAGGTGAGGTGAAATGGGGTTTAACGTCGCGTCCAAGAGTATTGCACTTATATCGCGACGTGCATGCACGTGTGTGTGTGTGTGGCTCTTGCACTAGACCGTCTGATGCCGATTTATAGTGCTAGCCCACTGAGATACCATGCCGAAGTTTAAAATGAATACCCCACTCTGACACAGTATACTGACTCCGAGCCGACCAGTCCTTGTTTTAGCCCCTTAATGCCGAGCGCCAGACAGGGTAACAACAAGTACCATCTTTTAACGTCTTTGGTATGACGCGGCCGGGGATCGAACCCGGACCTTCCGCTCTCCGGGCAGACGCTCTACCACTAGACCACGGAGGCGGTCGGCATGGAGATTACAAGACCAATGAGTAGTTATTTTGCCCTTGGTATTGCCTTCATGTTGAACTGCTGCGGGCGGTAGACGATGCCGGGCAGTCCCTGTAGAGATGGGCTCACCCCGTCTACAGGCCGGAATTCGAACTCCTGTATCATGCTGGTGGTAAAGAGGAAGAGTTCCATCCGTGCCAAGGCCTCGCCAAGGCATGCTCGGTGACCTGAAAATAACACAGAGAGAACATTAAGCTGGGGTCTGGATAATTAGGAAATATTATATACAGAAAGACTATAAACAGGCCATTATACTGACAAAAACAGGTATCGTATGTGCCGATACTTATACCGACAGATGAAGAGCTGTATAAACAGATCCTAATACTGACAGAGACAGGGATCGTATAAACAGATCCTTACGCCGACAGAGACAGGGATCATATAATAAATACAGATGCTTATGCCGACAGAGACAGGGATCATATAATATATACAGATCATTACGCCGACAGAGACAGGGATCTGATACACAGATCCTTACGCCGACAGAGACAGGGATCATATAATAAATACAGATCATTACGCCGACAGAGACAGGGATCATATAATAAATACAGATCATTACGCCGACAGAGACAGGGATCGGATACACAGATCCTTATGCCGACAGAGACAGGGATCATATAATAAATACAGATCATAATACCGACAGAGACAGAGATCGTATATACAGATCATTATGCTGACAGAGACAGGAATGGTATAGACACGTCCTTATACCGACAGAGACACATCGTATACTCGAATACGTTTACCGACAGAGAAGGGATCGTGAATTCAGTCCCCTATTAAAAACAGTATTATTTCATGTGATCTTTCAGCCTAATTTCATGCTAGATCTGAAACCTGAGTTGGGTTGCGTGTGTAAATGCTTACCGAGGGAGAACGGAATATGCTCATTCATCTTCTGAAACTTCCCTTCAGTGTCCAGAAATCTGTCTGGCCGGAAGTTCCTAGGATCGCCCCAGAGATCCGGGTCATGTAGGGCAGAGCTCAACATAGGTAATACGGTGATTCCTTCAGGGAAGGTGTATCCCCGGAACTCTACGTCATGGGGTACAGAGTGAGGCAGACTGCTTGGTATGATGTCGGCACACCTCAGTATCTCGGTAACCGTTGCCTCGACGTACGGTAAGCTGGTCTTGTCCTTCATGGAGGGTCGTCTGCTTTGCCCGACGTTTTCTAGGATCTCCTGGAAACACTTTTCTTGTACATCCGGATAATTGAGGAAATACACCAGACCCCATCGGAGGACAGTAGCTGTGGTTTCAGAGCCGGCAATGAACAGGTCTCTAAGGCATGTCTCTAGATTCCCATCTACAACATATAATCAAAGAAAATAGGAATTCTACAAATACATGTAAGACCAGTCGCCAGTCAGTGTTTCTTTAACCTCTGCATTCTCTTCTTAAAGTCGCTTTAAATGTGTTGAGGGTATTTTAATTATCTTGACTATTTTGAGTGGTCGGTTATTAAAATGTTCAACCTAAGTAAATAGACATTCACCTGCTGGCCACTTGACAAGCAAGGATGTATTCAGATTACTTGGATAGAGAAAGGCAAATATAAATTGCCGAGATCATATTGGTTACATTCACGGGCTGTGAAGTCATGAACACCGTCGATGGTTTCGGGTGACGTGTCCTCTTACTGTATAAACTGGCGCAGTTTCTCAGACAAAAGACGCCATTAAGACCACTGTTTGTTTGAGAAAAAACATAAATCTTCTGTTTGTTTGTTTATATATTTATTTGTTAAACGCCGCACTCAGCAATATTCCAGCTATATGACAGCGGTCTGTAAATAATCGAGTCTGAACTACACAATGATACGATGACATGCATCAACCAAGTCAGCAAGTCTGACCACCCGATCCCGTTATTCGCCACTTACGACAAGCATAGTCGCCTTTTACAGCTAGCATTGGATCCTGAAGACCTATTCTACACGGATCTCCACGGGTCCATAACTCTTCGGAAACTCTGGATTACGGATGGTTAGTTCCCCCTCAATTCAAACTGGCGATACTCAAATTAACAACATTTTGTTACTGTTGCATTGATGTTCTCTGCATTTTCTAGTATGTTCAATGATTTATGAAACCTTACCACTCATATTCGTGTTTTGACCTTCCTGACGGCGCCGTTGTATGGCCTTGATATAAGCAGAGGTGAAGTTGGTGACGTTACTGTCATCGTAGTTGTTCCTGTTGTCTTCAATAAACGGACGAATTATTTCTTTATCAATCATAGATATATTTCGAAGAGTTTGCTTAAATTTGAATAAGTCCCCCGGTAAATAGCGAACAATGGGCAAAACGTTGAGGACATTGGCTGTGCCAATGTTTCTGATGTTCTCGTCCAGGCATTTCATAAACTTGACAAACAAAGGATCGGTGTATTCAAACCGTTTTCCGGAAACCACAGAACTGATGATGTTCGCTACAGCGTTGTTGAGAACGCGGTTACAATTGAAGTCCGTGTGGACACATTCGTGGATGGCCTGAAGAAAGAACGATAACTCTTCCTGTATTGCATCCTCGAGAATGGTTTTGCTCATTCCGAATTCTCTGAGAGTGGTAATACTAAACTTTCTATGTTCCCGCCAGGTGGCGCCCGTTGAAAACACAAGACCTACAGCAAAACAGAAGAAAAATGTATCATATAAATGTGTCATAAAAGTGTATCATATACATGTATCACACACTTGAATCACGCACGCACGCATGCACGCACAAAAATTGATAACAACATGAAGGAAATTTTACAAACTGACATAATACATGTACACTGCGTTACAGAGAAATACTCTTTGAATACCCGCACTACTTAGAAATGTATCTCGTCGCACACTAACGTCTCACATTAGAGCAAATGTAGAAACTTGTAGGAAATGTAGGAAAACACGGGTTAAGCATCGATTCAAGGCGTGGGGGTAACGCAAGTCATTTATAGCTTTATATAAGATAGTTACGCGATAAATCGCAAAGTACAATGAAGAACGAAGCGTGGTTTATTTTACGATAAAACGTTGTTCTATCATGACGTCAATTCTTGAGATTCTAGCATCGCAACTCGATGACGTCGTAGACTGAACGTCGTCGTCATCTTTGAGGGAGAAGTGTCTTGTGAGCTGTGCCCCAATAAATGTAGCTTGGCAACACAGAAAAACGCCGCATCCGAAAGTGGGCGAGATATGGCAATCGGAAATGGGTTTGGTTTTGGTTTGGTTTGGTTTGTTCTTTTCCGCCGCACTCAGCAATATTCCAGCTATATGACGGCGGTCTGTAAATAATCGAGTCTGGACCAGACAATCCAGTGAATGATATCATGAGCATCGATCCACGCAATTGGGATTGATGACATGCTTCAACGAAGTCAGCGAGTCTGACCACCCGATCCCGCAATCGGAATTGGGAGACAATTATATATAATAGCCGTGAACATTGAAAATATCCGGGAACTACCAAACTTAGCCCCCTGTTCTTAAAATGGACATTGCCGAGGTCGGATTGTATCCATGGGGTCATCACTATTTAAATACAGGTAAATATTTTTAAAGCATGTACCTTTTACTAACATCCTTAAAGAGACTGTATGCCTACATTATGTGGATATCTCATATCAATATCAGAAATAAGAACGAGTGGGAGTTGTTTATCGTACAGTAAAACACTGCAGGAAGAATACACCAATGTACCAGGATCTTTGAATCACCTTGTCTGTGGGTTTCAGAATGGCGTTAGGTATCAACGACATGCAGCACTTTCCTCCCAGATTCCAGGTGCCGTGATTATGAATTATTCTTGATTTTAACGTTTGGGTGGCGTTTGTACATGCGTTTTAATGTATCATGCTCCGCTGACTTTTATCTTTTTTATGTACAAATGTACCGTAATTGTCAAACTATGTTATTTCACTTACATTTTGTAAACATTGCTTGAATTGATCTTATCCCATTACTAAGAATTTGAATAAAAACGCTATCAATCTTAATCTCAAGTTGTCTCTACCCAAACACCCCTATTATCATTGATAGTCTATCCCAAACAGAGTGAGTATGGTTTTACGCCGCTTTTATAAATAAAACCACTTTGATTGATGGATTGATGTATTGATTGATTGTTAAAGCGGCGTTAAAGGAATCGCTGTTATTCACCCACTAATTGTGTCGATTAATATTAGTTTTGATCCAGTCGGTTGTAAGAGACGTACACATATACGATATGCATGTAAGTATGTGTCTATACAGATATATTTACCTTTTCCTTTTGAAAAATGATCAGTTAAAAATGACGGCGGTCTGTGCGAGAAGACATCGGCGTTCTTGACTAGGGCCTCTTTGATGACGCTGTAGCCGTTGAGGACGATAACGGGTTGGTTAAAGATGTACACACTGAAGATGTCGCCGTATTGACGTCGCAGTTTGCTGAATGTTACCCTGATGTCTGCATCCATGGAGAATACGTTGCCCACCAGTGGTAGAAGAGGGGGGCCGGGGGGAAGTCCTGGGGCACGCCGCGTTGACAGCCATAGAATTAGTGATATAGTGACAAACACCAGTGTCACAGATGCATTGAACGTCAACAGTCCGGTTGTCAATGTCAAGATTGCGACAGCGCAAATACAACTGAAGACTGCCATGCTTGAAGTCTCCACGATGTGGCCGTCACGGTCGTGTCTGAAAGGATATCTAAATTACTTGCGCTATACACACACTACAATAGAACGACCGCCGTCATATAGCTGGAATATTGCTGAGTGCGGCGTTAAACAACAAACCAAACCCAAAAAAAATACAATAGAACGCTCGTACTTGCATCATAGCTTACATCATTGTAGGTGTGCAGTGAAGCGGAAATACCAATGTTGTGAAAACGATATCTCGATTTCACAAACCTTGTTGTATACTCACTTACAAGGGCTGTCAGTTTGTCAAGTCAGTATATGAGTCAATACTACATTGAGCTAGGAACTCGACCTGGTTTACTTACAACGATGGCTGACAACACACTTGAATTCTTCGGGGTCTCCCGCGGTCATCCAAGGGACGACCAACTCGAACCTTTCCGAAGACCTCCGGAAACCTACGATCACTACACCAACTTAACGACACCGTGCACCTACCTTTTGCACCCTGGCTCACACTGTATTCACTACATCACTGAGGCGGTTGAGATAGCCGAACATACGATATGGCAGTGACGTCAAGGCATGTCTTCAATACATTGGTGGCATATTTGTGAAGAGAAATGTACACTGGCAAATGGCAAATGACACTGCAAACTGAATACTCAGTGATAAACACGAAAGCCCAGCAGATAAGGGTACACTGACTATTCAACTCTTATATGAGGCGCATGTGGCATTCCAGAGCTTGGCGATGCTCACAACAAAGCACCTCATTAAAACACACCATAGTCCAGTCTACCACTCGAGAACACCCGGACTCTTATATAATGAAGCTCTGACCTCGTGAGGGGCAAGTGCACATGCAAGTTCAACATTGGAGGTCTGACATCGACTCCTCACCTGAGGTGAATCGGTGAGTTATTATTTAACGTCACATCGCCAATCTTTCAGCCACATCGTGACGACCTCATCTAAACTCCTCATCTGAGGTGAGTCAGTGAGTTATTATTTAACGTCACATCGCCAATCTTTCAGCCACATCGTGACGACCTCATCTTAGGGTAAATTCTATAAGATAATCGATATTATTAAAAATGGTTTGTTTTTTTTAACAAAATTTGCCCCATAAAAGTATTTTCACTTTAATACAATACAGACTTTCAAACCAGCGACTACCAGTTGAGCTTGGTCGGTGGCACCAAATATACACAAAGAAAAACGTTCAGCACACCCAAATGTGTTTCATTATTGTTTGGTCCCAATATTTATAACAGTCAGGAAAGATATAATTACGGGAAGTATTTTGTTTTCTCGAGTGGATGTAATCAGTCGTGCGTGACGAAATCTTTCGTGCCATGCATGGTATGCCCGTGCAGCATGCTACCCTCGAGTATCTCTAAAAGCAGTATATCCAAACGTTAAAGTTGCTTTCTTAAGCTCGGTTTTAAACAGTTACTCCATGACATTGTGTGACCATGGCACGAAGGCGATTATCAAACGCCACAAGATAGCAAATATTCGGCATGCATAACGCAGGCATGTCTTGTAATGCCATTGATCGGAATTTGGGGTATTATCACACTGCCGTAAGCCGTTTGGTCGAGAAACATCTTCAGACCGGTGATGTGACAGAACTTTGCGCGACAGAACTGGAATCTGTGAACTTGGAGACGGACCCATTGGTCAGACGAAAGTCGCTTTCTGCTCCACGTCACTGATGGAAGGACGAGGGTTTGGAGGCACCGGAACCCGGCCTACACCCCCAGGAACATTAAACCGACTGTTGCATACGGCGGGGGCTCGGTAATGGTTTGGGGGTGTATCTCTTATGATTGCAGGTTGGATTTGGTCACCATAAGGGGAAACTTAACAGGGTCTCAGTACATCCGGGACGTTTTGAGGCCACTTGTCGTTCCTCATTTTGACAACCACACTCTTGCTACTAGACCTCAGTACATGGATAACAATGCCAGGCCTCATCGTTCGCATGCAGTCGTGGTTTAAACGAGAGCCAACGCAATAACGACTCTACCCTGGCCAGCAATGAGCCCAGATTTGAACCCCCTTGAACATGTTTGGGATATTCTGGGGCAGCGCATACAGGCACAAGATCCTCCTGTACAAGATTTACGCCAGTTGGAAGCAGCATGGCATCAGGAGTGGTTGTTGACCCATCAACAGATCCAACGTCTGACTGGAGGCATGAGACGTAGTGTGGTATGCGTCATCCGGGCACTTTGCCGTTATACCCCTACTGATCTGTTTCACGTGTCATGTCAAGTAGAGACTTTAAGGAACATTTTCACATGAAACATCAAACGTAACTCGTTTACGTAATCCTGCAGCTCAATACTTTTTTTAGGTATTGTCTAAAGTCAAAAACAGTACCTGTGTAACCATGATGTTTTTGTCAGTAAATTTCAATCACCACTCACCAATATCTTCTTTATTTGTTGTCAAATGTTTGTTCTATCAGATGACATTGGTATCGCCCGGCTCCAGTGGTCAGTCATCCCGTGCCATGATTTTTGCCATTTGTCACGGTTCAGAAATAGGGGTGTGCTTAACTTTTTTCTTTTTGTATACGTCTGTTATAGAGAAAATGTTTCTTTTGCTAATATAATGCTATTAGAGACGAGTATCACTATTTATTTGTTTATGAATACTTTGGAGATGTAAAAATGAAACTTTTGCCATTATAATGCTTAAGAGGCCTTCTATGTTCAATATGATAAATTTATTTAAGTAAAAATGCCATTATATTAAGGAAACTTTCTAGATTTTTCTGCCAAATAAGTGAGTGAATAAATTTCTGTTCTGTCGCAGAGGTTTGGTGATCCAACATGAACTGAAGGCAAATATATCTGTGGGGCAGCAAATATGACACGAGGTTGAGTGTCAATTCATGTTTTATTCCATCTCAACGTAGACAATAAGGAAAAACGTACAACATAAAATATCACAAGCTCATTAGGTTACAATCACTGAGCAACAGAAGGAAAATATATTTCTATGTTAAGTTACAACAGCACACTATACACCCACACTTGACGTTTGACATTGTATAAAAGCACAAGTTCATTCATTGTATTTGATTGTATTCGAACATAAATGAGTGAGTTTTATCCCGCTTTTAGCAAAATTCCAGCAATATCACGGTGGGGGACACCAGAAATGGGCTTCGCACATTGTAACCATGTCGGGAATCGAACCCGGATCTTCGGCGTGACGAGCGAACCGCCCCATTTGAACATGAGGATGGACGGAATTGTAGATATAAATTAACAATTACTATTTTAAATGACACAGAATATAGAAGGAATAATGTACACACAAGTTTTGTGGAAATATTGCAATTAAAGAAAATGACAATGAAACTACTTTATTACAGTTGGTCTTACAATACATTTGACTGCAAAGAAAAGGTATTTCTATTTTATAGTTTAATGAAGTAAAGCACCAACACAAGCTCGACAAAGTCAGCAACAATGGAATTACAAAGTCGTGGATCGATATGGAAAAAAACATTATTCATGACATAGCAATGAACTCAACCCCTGGTGACCCACTCAATAGTTGGAACTATCGGTCCGAAGTTACGTCAGTCACCACTGGTGTTCATTTGCCTAACAATAATAAATACAAAAATACAGTACAAGAAGAACGATATTCAGTTTGGCACAAATAGTACAATGGCTTATCAATTACAATGCCTAAATTCGTCATAATAAAACAATCCTGAAAATTTAAACGGAAATGTTATGCGTTGCCAGTCACGGCTAAACCTGAATATGTTTACATTTCCTATCATGGCCGCCGCAACACAATGCATTGGCGAAGGGACGAAACTCGTGTGGGCTAACACACACCGGGGTGAAACGAAGGACTGCACTCATGGCGCGAAATACCAATCACTGACAGCGATGCAGAATACACATACCGTACAATATAAACTTGAAATGTGCATATAAGACAAAATAAAAGGAATAATTATACATAGTTCTACGTGAGAATGAAATTGTAATGCGGTGCTAATTCATGCTTTGCATTACTTCATCAGATATTGGGACCGCCTCCGTGGTCTTGTGGTAGAGCGTCCGCCCGGAGAGCGGAAGGTCCAGGGTTCGATCCCGCGTCATACAAAAAGACGTTAAAAGATTGTACTTGTTGTTACCCTGTCTGGCGCTCGGCATTAAGGGGCTAAACAAGGACTGGTCGGCTCGGAGTCAGTATACTGTGTCTGAGTGGGGTATTCATGTTAAACTGCGGCATGGTATCTCAGTGAGCTAGCACTATAAATCGGCATCAGTCCGGACTAGTACAAGCAGCCACACACACACATACACGTGCATGCACGTCGCTATATAAGTGCAATAATCTTGGACGCGACGTTAAACTCAATTTCACCTCACCTCATCAGATATTGCGAATTTGCCACTACGGACCAATGTTCTTTGGTCGGCCATTGAACACACGTACTCTATAATGAATGAGAAAAGAAAAAATACATCAATGCAATGTTTCACAAAGTTAATATACTCAATAGATATCAACTCAGGGTGTGTGCTTACGGTTGGTTATTGTGAAGAAAAGTGAATGCACGAGAGCGCTTGTTGTCACGGGTCGTATCTCGTGACGTATGTCGCGAAGATAGTTTACAATTAGATATTTTTATCATTAAAATCCGGAATTCGACAAAGATCAACGAGGTTTCCTACGTAGCTAATTTGGGCACTTCAAACTCTCTTCACAAATAGACTATAGGTGCATTTGTTTGTTTGTTGTTCAAGCTATATGACAGCGGTCTGTAAATAATCGTCGAATATATGGCTGAAATATTGCCGATGTGACGTAAAGCATTAACTCACTCACTAATAATCGAGTCAGGACCAGACAATCCAGCATCAACCAGGTCAGCGAGCCTGGCCACCCGATCCTGTAAGTCGCCTTTTGCGGCAAGCATGGGTTGCTGAAGACCTGTTCTAACCCGGACTTTCACGGGTCACAGGTGTATTTGAAAACATATATAACAGGACTGCCACGGGGATGCAAGGACCGTACCCACACACCTCGGAGGCAGCAAGATACGTTTTGTCCCATGTGAAAGGAAAGTTGGGGAAGGGCTTCACACATTGTACCCATGACAGATATCGAACTCGGGCCTTCAAGTATGCAAGCAAACATTAACCACTAAGCCAAACCCAACTCCAATGTTAGGTAGTTGTCCGGGGGTAGAGTCACGGGGGTCACAATCGGTATTAACACCCCGTGTCATATAATCGGTGTTACATGACAGCTCAACATCAAAATCATTGCTTTCCATTCCATTCGTTCGTTGCTTTGTTGTGTCCATATATATATATATATATATATATATATATATATATATATATATATACAAAAATGAGGTAAATGTTCACTCGGTGTACATGTAATA